GCCAAACAAAGCTGAAGCTTGTACTACTGAAATTTGGCCCTAAAGGAAAATATCATCTCACATTTTGCATGGAGATAGAGAATCTTTCACTTTTCTTCCGTGCTCAGGCGGAAACCCATGGTTTCTTGTCTGTTGTAATTGTTTCACATGAAATTACAGACATGATTCCTTTGCAGTCTGTTACAACTGAATTGGTTCAGCAATTGGATACTGAGCAATTTTATGCACGTAACAATTAATGAAAGTCCCATTTTCAAGCCATTTAACTTCAGCAGCAAAACTTCTGCATAATTCGGTGCTCTAATGAAACCCACTGTGATAGAAGAATCAAGAGACCATGTAATCAATTGCTAGCAAGACTCTAAACTTCTGTGTATCTTACAAATAGGTATTCCATACTACACCAACCACAACCGAAACAACCTCAAATTGCACAGAAGCATTCCTGCATGAAGGTATTCATGTCATAAAAGCTTTGCAACTCAAACCATGTGTCATCTCTTCCAAAATTAGTTTAGACTCCAAGAATCCTACCAGCAAACAAAGATCATTTGATTGCAGAAGCAAAGGGCTTCCTCTTAACATCATTATTACCAAGAAAACTAATGGCCTTTTGAACTAGCAAATTGTTCATCAGCTCTCCAGAATGCAAGTCTCAAGCCATCTGAACCAGAACAGGAACTTATGGCCTTTTTATCAGTTTTCTGGGATTAGGCACTAGACAGCTGCACCCAACTGCTCCCGGAACCTTCTTTAAACCTTTTTCTTTCATGGAAACTCTAAGGTCATTAGTGTCACTCCAATAGCCAGAAAGAGAGCACATACTCCCAGCAAGCACGTAATTTGCTCCAACATCAGGCTCTATTTTAAGAAGTTGCTTCAGATTTTTTCTTCACAAACAATACGGCCATGATATCTGCATGAACTGATGAAGCTCCTCAATACAATAGAATTAGGTTCCATGGGCATGCTCTTTATAACCTGATAAGCTTCTTCAATCTTTCCAGCACGACCAAACATGTCCACCAAGCAACCATAATGTTCCATGGTTGGCCTGATATTATGAACCTTTACCATTTTATCAAAATAATCTTTTCCCTCATCAACAAGACCCATGTGACTACATGCAGAAAGAACTGCAGAAAATGACTTACTATCAGGCTGCAGGCCAGCTTCTTGCATTTTTGAAAACAATGACATAGCTTCTTCCCCAAAGCCATTATCTGCAAGGCTAGAAATCATGACAGTCCAAGACTGCAAATTTTTATCACTTATTGAATCAAAAATAAGGAACGCTTCCAGCATGTGACCACATTTTGCATACATCTCAAGAAGAGCAGTTCCCAGTTCAACATTCAATCCAACACGTTAGTTAGAATGCGGGAATGAATGGATTCTCCAAGCTTGACATTGAGGAGACGAGTACATGCAGCAAGCAGGCTAACCAAAGTGATGGAGTTTGGCTTCTCATGTTGTATGATCATGTCTTGGAAAACAGTTAAAGCATTTACAGGACAGTTACTGTAATCATTCAAAGTCAAGTTATAGGTCAAACAAAAACTTCAAGACTATAAAATGTTAAAATATTGGAAACAGAGAGCCTTAACTACATGCTAAAGAATACAAAGGAAGTAAAAGATAATCCCCTTAGCCGACAATAAAATCATCAGATACCATTCCACTACTTCAATTTTCATTTTGAGACGCAACAATCAGCACAATTTCACAAGACGACGGCCATAAGTCCCCATATAACAAGTTCTCAAGGGTGTCTAGCACTTAATCGATCAAGCTAACTTGTAAACAAGGTCAGCTGTAAACAGTGCGGAAGAAATTTTTTTACAGTGATCGTATCTACATCCATACAAGCTATAAGGCACCTAAAACCTAGAAAATAGTAGCTAATGAATTGAAGAAGCAGTGCCCATAAAGAGTATAAATTTTAGGCACCTTATATTATAAACATTAAGAATATGCTGCAGTTAACAAGATTGAGACTCATTCATTTTGGAAAAGTAGATTAATTTTTATTGCCTTTTGCTACCATATACCAAAACCTTCATCTTAATTCTTGATAATTAAATATTATAATATAATGTTTTCGGGAGTCCAGTAATTAAAATGCAATAAGTTGTATATGACTCTGTGATTAAAGCATGTTGTGACTAATAGAGCTTGAACAAGTTGTTTAGGGAGTTAAACCATATCCCCTGGCCAGAATTAGCAGAAAGTAAAAGCAAAAGAAAAATGAAGAGCATAAGCAAAGTACCACAAGATCAATTGGATTATATACGATCTATGCACAAGTCATTATCTTTCAATGGAATTTGTGCAGCATGATACTTATGCATTATAATAGCCTTTGTTGCTGGAAGCCAAAAAAATATTAATAATATTAATGGACGTCCAAAAACATAGGAGTCGACTAAGAAGTCTGACTCCCATACTCCAACTGATTTTCTCCTTCCCTTCTCTAAACAAAGTACACTCCGTAGTTGGGCTTTCTACCATGAACAACCCCACTACGACTCATTGCAAAGGAAGTTAGGTGTTTCGAAGATAAATTACGAACCCCTAATTGCTGAGACAAGTAAGAAGGAAATAAAACAAAAGAATTAGCATTACTTCGGTAACTGATTAAGGATAGAACGTACCAATTAACATAAGCAGCAATCATAGAACTCCAAGAAACCACATCTCTTTGAGACATATCGTCAAACACTTGCTCGAATACGCAATCAGATGAAGCCCTCCATACATTCTGAGCAGTGTATTGCATATATGTAAATCCCAATCAAAACCATCTTCAACACCATTGAATGCAGAGTCCCACCTACTCCAACCAATTGAACAACGCCCGCAAGCTTTGAGCACAAAAGGGTATGTATAGTTGTCGGGTTTTATCCCACTTCTTTGAAGATCAACGAACATTTTTACCGACTCTAATGGTATTGAGCTCTTTGAATACCCTTGAATCAGTGTATTCCGAGAAAAACGTGATGGTGTAATCGGTGATTTGTCAAAGATTTCTCTTGAAATTTGCAGTGATATTAAAGACGATGCAAGTATAAGTCTAGAAAGGAAGTGTTCTTGATGATCTAGAGCTGTTTTGATGCTGAGAGATTGCAGTTGAAGAAGATGACTAGTGGTTTTTGACCGTTGTAACAGGGTCTCAATCTGGCGGGAAATCATCAGACTTTACACCGATTTTGTTTTTCTTTTGCCGTTCTTGATGAGGACCAATTTTGACTGATTTTGGATATCATTATACTATGCAGTAAACATGTGGCATTTGTCCCTGCGGTTTCCAAATTACCGCATACTCTGTCAGAAGGGGACACATGACATGACATGTAAATTTAACGAATTGGAGCCTGAATTTGGTGTAATCTGTGATCACTATTTTGTGTGAAACTTCATATGCTTGGCAAAATCGATGCCAGTAGCCAACGATCGGGTCTGAAGTAAGACTGTCATCGAGTCGAGTCAAGTATCGAGTCATTCGAGTTCTACTAATAAAAATACTTGAACTCGAATTTAAAATTGTTGAGTGCTTTAAAATTGAGTTTGAACTCGACCAAATCAAGTTTAATTGAACTCAATCAAGTTCAATTGAGTTTTTAAGATCAGTTTTTAGTAAATTTCATAATTTTAAAATAAATAATTAAAAACTATATTGTAAATACACTACTCGAGACGCTTGACAAATACTCGAATTTTGATTTTTTTTTCACCCGAAATCGACTCGATTACCTTATCAAGTAGTTCAAACTCAACTCGAACTTGGCAACTCAATCGATGCCAAGTTCGACTTGAATCTTTAACCAAAGTACTCGCGAGTCTGAATCAAGTAGCATGGTTAATTTGTACCCCTAATTAAAACTCAACTTGATTACTTTATCAAGTAGCTCGAATTTGACTTAAACTCGGCAACTCGATCGATATTGAGTTCGAATCAAGCCCTTAACCAAACTACTTGTGAATCCAAATCATTTAGTATGATTAATTTAAGCCCTTAATTAGAAGCACTAAACATAAGTATAATAATAAGAAGGGATAATTCCAGAAACATTCCCTGAGGTTTCTAACAATTTCACTAAACTCTCCTAAGATTTGAAAAATTATATATACCTCTCTTGATTTGATAATTTTAGTAACAAAATCTTAAAATAATATTGACTTGGTCAAATTTTTAATGAATACCCAAAATGCCTTGTGTAATGAGTTTTAATTTACTTTCTTATAAAATTATAAGATTATCTAATGTAATTATAAGAAAAATGTGCCGAATTTTTCATCTCCATATCTATTATTTGATAAACAACTGCAATAATAAATTTATCACTATGATAGGATACTTTTGATGGTATTTTATTATAGATTTAGATTTATAAGATAGACAATAAATGTTGAAATAATTGATTTAGAGTTTATGAATTTTTTGAGCAGTGAAATTATCATAATTTAGTAATAATTTTGGGCAATTTCTTGTTGATTTATTATTAATTTTAATACTAAAAAATAGAAATCAAATATTAGCAAAAAACATTGGATTATATATAAAGTTAACTCATCAAAAAAATCATTAGTTCGACATTTGTTACAATAGAAATCAGAGATAATAATGATAATTTTACAATTTTATTGACAAAAATTAAAATAAAAAGGAAAAAGAATGAAAAAAAATAATTTTAAAGGCATTCTAAATATAAATATATCAAACAAGAGAATTTTATTAAAATATTTAAAAATAATATTATTATTTTAAATAATAAAGGAGGAATGTGTAATTTTTTAAATTTCACATAAGCTTTTCTGAAATTATCCCTAATAAGAAATTCTGAAGGCTCTCAAAAGAGGCCGAGCGTTTGATTCTTCTCGTACTGAATTGAATCGCGTGAAAATTCTTTTAAGCAAAATTTTGGGGATGGAGGCGTATACTTTATCCAGCGCAGGACGTGTCAGATTTTCTTTCGAAAAGTTGTGGAACTGTGACCTATTTCAGACTTTTTCCACTTCCAGTATTCCACAGCTCGCAGTGACTAGAGTTTGGTGATATGGATTTGTCGTTTGCACCTTGGGAAAATGTAGGCCACAAACCAGTCATTGTCATAGACTCGTGGGGTCATTGTCTGCTTTTGTCTTTCTGAACTTTGACCTCCTGAACCATTCTGAAATCTGAACTCTTTGCATTCGACGATGCATATACACAGAAGGCAGAAGCTACAAGATGGATGAGCTCTTGAACCTCTTTTGGAATCCTTCTTCTATGGATTATTGCATAGCCAACAACCCTTATTCGAGTCTTTGAATTGGCTAAAAGAGGGGCTTTGAAGAACAATTCTTGAAGCTAGGAAATGCAATCCCAGATAGTATCAAAGATGGAAAAAAACCAGTCTTTACTCATCCATGTTGATGATCTTAGAGGAAGATATTCAGTTTCTGAGTTCATCAGTCTCATGCCAAGTCAACTTTCTGTATCAGACCAGAAGTCCATCTCCCATCTTATGATCTTCTGTAGCCAAGATGAATCTATTCAATTCAACAACAACAAAGGGATTGCGGCAATCAAAGAAAAGATCAAATCTGCACTTGAGGGTTTGGGTGTTTTTCTCTTCCCACTTTAGTGCAACTGTGGATGCCCAAAACAATAGGCACCCAACAGCTTCTTGTGACTTCAGATCTTCCTTTTGGTATTAGTCTGCTCACCGAAGGACTCTGTTTGTATAGGAAGCGTTGTTTGGAACACAGATATGATCTTGATTGTCAAGAAGAGCTTGGCCCTGTTGGACGGGTTTTTAGAAATGGGGTTTCAGAATTTAGTCCATATGTGTCTTGTTACTCATCTAAAGAGTTTAAACTGAGGGATGCTGCTGTTAGATGTGGTGTAAATGGATACCTGGCTTTGCCAGTTTTTGAGTCAGTTAGGGATCAATGTGTCGGTGTGCTTGAGCTGATTACTTCGTGGGATGGGAATTATTACTTTACTGATGCAATTGGAAAAGTTATTGATGATGCTTTCAAGGTTCGATTTCTAACTCAACCCATTATTCACCAAGGATAAAGTACTAGCATGTTTAATTCGCCTCTCCATATGGAAATTGTGCTTCTATTGTAAATTTTGCCCAAAAAACCTGCTAATTTTTCTTGTTGTAAATGCTTTGGTCTTGGATGCAAGGGGAACAAGCTTCTCTTTTGAGCTTTTTCTGTTTTGTAACTCCTTGTTCTTTAGAAATTGGAAGTGACGCGAAGATCATTTCTTCTTTTGTTCTCTGCCAGCAAATGATATGTTTATTCAAAAGAATCAGCTAATTGAGCTTTTACAAAGGTTGGCATCAAATTCCATTACTTTCATGCCCTAAAAAATTGTCTTAGCAAGATTCTCATATCGCTGGATGAAATCAGGAAGCCAAAAAGATTGCAAAAGTTCTGTCAGTTGAAGTAATCTGTGCTTCTTGTGCTACAGAGTCATTTTCAGATACATTAGCTGTAGAACTTGGCTAACACATTTCCTGAAATGTCAGCTGTCTTCAAATAATTGGAGTTTTTCTGAGCTGAAGCTATCTATTTTATGCATAATTGACATCTCTGGCTTGAAGTGGAGGATATTTGAAGTGGCATAGCTTCTGCTGAACTCTATGATAGTGAAAGTTATTATGAATTCTTGCTTTCGCACTAGAACAATTACTCATTCATGTCTAAGCTATGATCTATGATGTGGAAACCTTTTCAACGTTTGGTCCCATGAAGTCTGAGCTGTAACTCATGGCGTTGGAAAAATTTTCATGTGAAGGACAAGAACTTTCTATTTGACTTGTTTATGTTTCAATTACCATGCTGTATAGCTGGCATGATGATCCTGTGAAGATCCCCCTTTAGTGAAGATCCCCCTTAAATAGCAAAGGGGTTTCAGCTTCACATCCATCAGATAGGATTCTGTGTTAGTACTGATGTAAGCGATGTTCGTATAATTTCAGGACTTCTTTTGTTCTTGTTGGGTTCTTGTATAGTCGAATCCGGTCATAAAGCTGTCATGTTTACCTGCATTGCATGCTACAAGTCTTAATAGAAAATTTCATTCCAATTTCTGAAATCATTTCACTATGATGATCTCAAAAATGTATAGTGATAGTTATATTCTTTCCTGCAGGCCGTAGGACTGAGGATTTGTGATGCACATTTGTCACTTCACAAGGATAGAGTAAGTGGTGACTGTATCTAGCCACATTTTTTTCACATGTATCAGTTAAGTTATTTTATTGCTGACTCGCTTTTCGTACTGTATGATTCCTTTTCTTACTGATAATGTCCAAAGCAGATTTCTCAGCATGAATTTGACCTCAGTCAAATTGAGAACGGTTTGAATGCATTCTGTCATGCACACTGTATACGTTTTGCTCAGACCTGGTTCACAAGCACTGGAGAGAACCATAATGAAAGTGTCATGTGCACAAGTGAAAGGGGATCAGTTATGTCAGTCAAGAAGGTTTCCTCCTTCCAAAAGGATTGCATTCAGTTTGGCTTAAAGAAAGGACAGAGTGTTGTATGGAGTGCATTTACATCTGGTGCTTCATGCTTCTGCAAAGATGTGAAGCAGTTAAGTATTGATGAGTACCCCCTAGTACTTAGTGCACGCAAAGTTAACTTAACTGGCTCTTTTGCTGTCTGTCTGCAAAGTAGATCCACAGGAAATGAAGTTTATGTGCTAGAGTTTTTTCTGTGCCCGTACCAACCTTCTTATGGGAAACCACAGACCCTCTTGAAAGCTTTTTTAGCTGCAGTACAGCAGAACTTTCAGAGTTTCAAGGTTGCATCTGTACAAGAATCAGGGGCGGATACACCTTTGAACATAATTAAACTTGATAGACTGGATGAATCTTTGGAAATGTGTGCAACAACCGGATCTCAACCTTTGCTTAGATTCTCACATAACAACTGTGAGAATGTACGAACACAGGACAATCTTCCTGTTCTTCAAAATAATGAAGACATGGTAAAGGCACCAGGAGTGAAGGTTCCCAGAAACCAGTCAAGAAGGCAACTTGAAGATGCTGAGTGTATGTCTGATAGTGAGTTTGCTATCTTGAATTTGAACCTAGCTTTCAGTATGACTGCATTGTTCATTTGCTTATATGGCTGACAAGATCACCTGGTATTAATCTTGATTCAAATTCTCATTTTTACAGTTGTCATACATGAAGAAAAGCAGTTATGCAGAGAGCGTAGCATAGATAGACAGACCAACAAGAGAAAAGCTGATCATTCCCTTTCTCACGAAGATGCAAGAGGATCTGAAAACCACAATAAGAGAACACGTAATAGAGACCAAGCACGTTCTGATTTACCTCCTGACGAAGGCACTACTTCTGTTTCTCACCCTGCAGCACCAGCACCAGAAAATGAAGGCACAATTATGATAAAGGCAGCATTTAAGGAAGGCATGATTAAGTTTCCACTCTCTCTCTCATCAGGGATGATGGATTTTGAGAAAGAAGTGACAAAGAGGTTAAATTTGACAACTGGAAGTTTTTTGATCAAGTATCAAAATGAAGATAATAACTACATTTTAGTATCCAATGATGTGGACTTGCAGAAGTTGATGTTTGATATGATGTCAAAAAGGAAGAATACAGTCAAAGTTCTTCTTGAGCCTACTGAGAATCAACACCTTGAAATTTCCAGGGGTTCTGTTGGTAGCCCTATGCTGCAGATAAATCCAGTGCAGAACGAGAGTATAAAGGCACCACCAGCACCAGAAGAAGGCACAATTATGATAAAGGCATCATTTAAGGAAGACATGATTAAGTTCCACTCTCTCTCTCATCAGGGATAATGGATTTTGAGAAAGAAGTGACAAAGAGGTTAAATTTGACAACTGGAAGTTTTGAGATCAAGTATCAAAATGAAGATAATAACTACATTTTAGTATCCAATGATGTGGACTTGCAGAAGTTGATGTTTGATATGATGTCACAAAGGAAGAATACAATCAAAGTTCTTCTTGAGCCTACTCAGAATCAACACCTTGGAAGTTCCAGGGATTCTGTTGGGAGCCCTATGCTGCAGATAAATCCAGTGCAGAATGAGAGTATAAAGGCACCACCGGCACCAGAAAATGAAGGACAATTATGATAAAGGCAGCATTTAGGAAGACATGATTAAGTTTCCACTCTCTCTCTCATCAGGGATAATGGATTTTGAGAAAGAAGTGACAAAGAGGTTAAATTTGACAACTGGAAGTTTTGAGATCAAGTATCAAAAGGAAGATAATAACTGCATTTTAGTATCCAATGATGTGGACTTGCAGAAGTTGATGTTTGATATGATGTCACAAAGGAAGAATACAATCAAAGTTCTTCTTGAGCCTACTCAGAATCAACACCTTGAAAGTTCCAGGGGTTCTGTTGGTAGCCCTATGCTGCAGATAAATCCAGTGCACAATGAGAGTATAAAGGCACCACCAGCACCAGAAAATGAAGGCACAATTATGATAAAGGCATCATTTAAGGAAGACATGATTAAGTTTCCACTCTCTCTCTCTTCAGGGATAATGGATTTTGAGAAAGAAGTGACAAAGAGGTTAAATTTGACAACTGGAAGTTTTGAGATCAAGTATCAAAAGGAAGATAATAACTACATTTTAGTATCCAATGATGTGGACTTGCAGAAGTTGATGTTTGATATGGTGTCACAAAGGAAGAATACAATCAAAGTTCTTCTTGAGCCTACTCAGAATCAACACCTTGAAAGTTCCAGGGATTCTGTTGGGAGCCTATGCTGCAGATAAATCCAGTGCAGAATGAGAGGATCATGACCATAAAGGCAACATATAAAGAGGAGACTGTAGAGCTTCAGGTTTCCCTTTCTTCAAAATTGATGGAACTGAAAAACGAAGTCATGAAGCAGTTCAAGTTAAGCGGTGACAGCTTTGACATCAAGTGTCTAGCTGAACCCAATGAATGGATTCCATTGACCAGCGACAATGATTTGCATAATTGTGTGACTATCATGAAACCACAGGAAAACCCAACAATCAGACTTGCTGTTGAGCCATGCACCAATCAGATTCCTGAGGAAGTTGCTACTTCTGCTTCACCTCCTATGCCACAAGCTATGACAATGCAAAATGAAAGCCTCATGACAATAAAGGCAACATACAAAGAAGTCATGATAAAGTTTCAGCTCTCTCTTTCATCAGGACTGATGCAACTCAGAGATGCGATAAAGAAACGGCTCAACCTGAGTGGTGAAAGTTATGAGATCAAGTATCAAGATGTCAATAACAATTGGATTTGTCTATCCAGAGATGCAGATTTGCAGAGTCATTTAAGAGCTATGAGATCATCAGACAGGTCAACTGTCAGACTTCATATTGAGCCCTTGAAGACATAGCCTCAAAAGGTTCACTATGCTTACTGTTTCAGTTTGAACTTCTTTTTGTGGAACATATATACAGGAGCCACAAACAATTTCTTAATCTTCAATATCTAGCTTGTGTGAGAGGGATCAACCTACACATAAATTTTATTATACAATTAACTACCAACCTGTTGGGGGAAAAAAGCTACCTAAATTCTACGGGATCTTTTGTTCCAACTAGTCAACAAGTAACATAGGATAATGGCAGTATTGAAACCATGCCCAGATTAGCACCAGAAAGTATGGTTCTTGAATTGAATTTTTCAACACAGTCTCTCTTGCAAATTCTCATATAAATTTCAAAAATTCAAATTTCAAAAGATCATCTTTGAGAGCTGCATTTTATGGGGAAAATAATTCAACTATGTGGATATCCAAATGAACTTATTACAATTCAAATTAGATAGATGCCTGAATTTATGGTAGGAGAGTTGAATGGATGCAATTTCAAATGCAAAACCATGCTACCACTGAAAATCACACAACAAATGTTGGGCATTCATTGGATGCTCTACTAGAGGTGTCTAGATATTACAATGGGTAAGGTTTAGGTTAGATCCTTTTGATTTAGATCCAGATTTATTAAATTAGTGACCTAAATTCAGACCCAAAGCCTTATGGGCCTGAAAAAATTCAAATCCAATCCTTCTAGATTTGAGTATCAATGGGTACCGATATATTTTCTAATACACTAAAGTAAAAATATATTAAAAATATGCAGATTTCAAAAATATAAACATCATCCAATTTTTATTTTAAATAATAAAATTAATATTCAAGAAGTTGAATGCAATATTATAAACTCAAAAAGTGACTATTATCGACAGTTTCGACTTATTTTTAAAACTTCAACTGTATCTACGTCAATCTTTCATTTATTTGGCATTTACTTTTTCTTCTTTTTTCTGAAATTTGTACTAATTAAAAATAACTAGGATTAACTTGAAAAAAAAAATTCATTAAATCTTACTGTATTCGATCCAATGACCATAGAATATTAGAATATTTTATAAATTTACTAATATATATATTTAACTATATATAATGGGTTTGGTAAAGCCTGTTATGGGTTTGGATTTGGATATAAATCATAAAAAATCAAATTCTATCCAAATACATAACTCTTTTATAGGGTTTAGGTCTAAGTAGGGTTTTGATAAATTAAATCCAAACCCTACCCAAATACATTGGATTTGAATTAAATTTGGATAAAAACCAATCCATTAACATGCCTGGGTGTCTATAGTGGGAGGGTTAGAAGAAAAGGGTTATTTTTTGTAAGTCAGGACTCAGGACAAATGATTATATATTAGGTTCTTCTTCTTCTTTTTTCTTTCCCTTTTCTGTATACTGGATCCCCTCAACCTAGCTAGACAAAAGCCACGCTTATACATAATACTAGAAAGGACGCCCAACGCCTACCAGTTAAACCCACCACTTAGCTAGAACTGAAAAGAATGAAGAAAGCAGCAGCAGCAGAGGCTTCGAGCAAGAGCAACAATGGCGGAACTGAAACGAAGGACAGAAAAAACCCAATTTAGACCTGCTCTCGATGACACTAAGCCAATTCTCAAAGACCCAGTAAGTCAATTTTGATTCTTTTCTTTTTCCTTCTTATTTGAACCGTTCAAACTGATTTCAGGTTTTCTTTTTTACCCGGTTCTTTGCAGATATTGAGATCGGACCCTATTGAGACTGAGGAAGCTGTTCTTCGGTTGCCCCTTTTCCAATCGACAAATTGAAAAAATCCCAAAAATTTGCTTCCTAAAACTAATTCAGATGTATTTGTAGTTGATGCAACAGTTGGTGATTTGAATAGCAAATCCTGTTGTTGAACTTCTTGCTGCTAAATGAGGTACTTCACATATTTTCTTTAGTACTATCATGTGGATCTGAATTCACATCAGTATATTTTAATCCAAACAAAAAGGGCAAGTGTTTCACAGTTTTAGTATTTGGTGATCTCATATTGTAGCTGACCTTTCTGTTTTTCATTTGCTTATTTCTGGGTAGAATTTTTGTGTTTCTTCAAAGTTTTGTAGGAGGGAAAGGAATAACGGTGGGTTGGTAACCATGATCAATCTTCAAAAGATCATCACGAGTGTCTTTCAAATACCAGATTGCAATTTCAAAGTCACTAAATTCACTTGAACTCCACTACGACCTTGTTCTCGGTTGCTTTATATAAATTTGATTATAGAAATTGTTATAAAGAATAATTAGAATCAGCAAAGGTTATTCTTTGAGTAATCTGTTACAATCTGCGTTTGGATTGGTCACTAAATTTTCATATATATATGTTACAATAATATACAAACAAAAACAATCATAAAAATCTCAAAAATATCCTCAAAAATAATCTCGTATATCGTAAATATTTTAAAAACAGATAATTCAAACGAATGATCATTAAAAAATATGTAATCAATGTACAAAAGTAATAAAAAATATCACAAAAGTTGATTATTCAAAATCAAAATCTGTAATCAATTAAAATGGTCAATCTAAGAAAACCCTACAAATCTTAGAAACATGTCTTATTGACACTTCACCCTTCGATCAAATAATAGTGAGTAGCTTGGTAAGACTTGAGTTTTTTTTTTTTTTTTTGATAATACATTAACAATATTATTAATCATCTCACTAGAAATCGTCCAGCACGATTTACTTGACAAAATAATTTGCACTAATGACATAAAATACATTAAACATGTCACAAGTATATTTAAATTGAAAAATCATAAAATTTAATAAAGATACAAAATTAAAAGATCCATCAAAATAATTTAAACAAATTTGCTTCCATTCTCGAATACAACCACATCCATCAAAATAAGATTATATGAAGAAAGGCAAGTCAGAATGACTGTCTTCGCACTTGTCAATGATCAAATTATAGAAACTAGAACATTGCTTCGCACGATAATGCTTCTCTTTCAACACGTTCAGCTCGTACATCACAACGTGTGAGGATCAGTTGATCAGCAAGAGTTCAGCAGTACTACTTTCAGCACATGCTGTTTCATGGAGTAAATAATAGTAACATGGTACTCAAATGATACAAATTATGAACAATTCCGACAAATAACAATAAATGTGACCAATAAATGGCATGTAATTTTGTGTTGGATGGGTTACAAAAACACAAATTTGGCTTCCTTCATGAAGACACTTCTGCAGGAAGCTCGACATTATTTGGAAAGCTCTTTGGTAATTGCAGTACTGGTTCGTCGCCTGACAAACCCTTCAAAGCCAAAGCTAAAGAAAATCCTAAAGCGCGAGCAACTGGCACAGCAACTGCGTTGCCAACTTGAATGTACCTGGAGTATCATAAACATCGAGTGTTAATAATTGCAAACAGATATCCATTCCGTGTTCACATAGGAGGTATTATAATATTGTTGATTACCAAATAAGCCAATCAAATTTCAGGATAATGAACATGGCTTTCTTCAACATATAGCAAATCAGCAAATTTCACGATGCAGTCAAGCAAATCAAATTTCACGATGCAGTCAAGCAAATCAGCAACTAATTGCCTATATAAATAACATCTCAACATGTGAGCAACACAGGCCTATTGACAATGACCAAACTCATGAAGAAACAGAAGCTGACAGACAACTAAAACCAGCTGCCTTTCTGAAACAGTTCCAGAAGAGTAACTTGTGCTCTGCACACTAAGTAGACGCCATTTGGAATTTGGCTCACAGATTATCTGAAGTGCAGAAGGTCCCAGATTTTGCGAAACTAGGTGAAATATACTGAAAAGCCTCTGTCTAGTTGAGTTGATATTTTACTTTCACAGTGAAATCTAGATGCAATACATTGAACACTTCCATCTCAAAATTAAGCTTTTAAGAGTTCTACAACCTCTTCACCATTTTATCACACAACCCATGCATTGCCATATTCGTCAGCAACATGTCCTAAATCCTCACTGTCATTATGAGAACAGGTGAAAGGGAAAAACTTTTTGGGTCTAATTTTCTTTCACTCTGACAGGACAAACCCACTGCTACTGCAATTTTTTTTCCTCGTTTCAACATATATCTACAAATTCTAACTAATGGAAAAAGACTAAGTATGAGGCCAAGAGTAGTTTGTTTTATTCGAGGTGTAACAAGGATTGAGAGAACCTGAGGATCATATTAGCGTACTCTATAGAATGCCTAAATATGTCAGAAACATAATTGTTCCTCAGCTTTTACCTCTTTAATGGGGCCAAAAAGTTTGTAATAATCAGGAAATCCTTGGAGTCGCGTTCTCTCGGATTGTAAGGACTCTGTCTTGCTTTGGATGCAATATGGTCTGACAAAGTCCAAAGAAGATTCATTCAGTGAAGTATAAAACAGCAAACCAGAATATTCAATTAAATTAGAAAGTGACAACAACAGTACCTGATTGTGAGGTTCTGCTCGTGTGACAACTGTAGGTACTGTCTCATTCCACCACAATCGTCCAAAGGCCTAAATGGCATGAAAATAGTTGTGTGAAAAGCCAAAACAAAAAAATTCATCAAACAAGCAATTTGAGAACATAGAGAGAAATGAAGATTACTTGCATGAAGATCCACCAACAAAAGTCATAGCATAATCAGGTACCTGCACAAGCAACTCACTGGGTAAGGATTATCAATGAAGAAATAAACAAATACATGCTGATCTGCATAATATAGAATTCAAGAAGTCGTACCAAAGGTTTCCTGAGGGCAGATAGACACGCTCTATATCTGGATCCCATTCCACCTTGTTATCAGCACGGACTCTTACACCAGGCAAATCTCTAAAGTTTGCACCCTAGCAACCATGGTACAAATAGTTCAGAAGCAGGTAGTATTCAATTGACAATTTACATAACAAAGCTCCTGAAAAGCATAAATACATGAGAAGGTCCTTTGACAGGAAAAAAAACATAAAAATGAAAAAGACTAACGAACTAAAATATACCTTCTTCTTGGGAATCTGACACACCCGACTATAATCATCCCTATTTAGTTGGAGCGGCCTATGGTCATACAGCAAATGTGGAGCTACTTCTAATCCAAAGCCTAGACTACCTGGCATTTCTGCATCAGAAAGAAAAAAATGTGAAAGACGACATTCAATAACTTTTCAAACTCAAACTACGCAGAGAACCTGTATCAGAACGTAATCCATTGTGCTCAATTAAGACAAGCTAAAAGCCATAGAAAAAGGAAACCTATAAAACAAAGTACTTTTAGTTTCATGGATTTAAGTATTACATTCCAGATTTAAGAATGTAAATAGTTCGATGCTTAGTTGGTAAACCAACTTTTTTCACAACATAAACAATGAATGACAAATATAGCTGGAAACTTTTAAGCACCAGCAAACGTGTATTGTTTGCTCTGGATCAAAAATGTTGGATAAATTTTTTAGCATCCATTAGAATCACGTTACCATGCTCACCAAGACAAGCAAGAATTCCAAGTTTAAAATAAGGCATTGAAAATTATAAATCCAGAAGTACTTCAAGGAGAAATAAAGAAATATGAACTTACCATCTTTCCTCAATCTGATGAAGTTTTGAAATTCAGTCTTGGACGCACCACCATATGGCATTTCATCTCGTGGCTCGTCATTTTCAACCTAAATGTTAAGTTTGCAAGAGAGAGTTTTAAGCATATAAGGAACATTAGAGGCATACATTAATTAAAAAAGCTTAGTATTGGCAATATATACCGGTGGAAGATCAGAAATAGCATCTTCAAGAAAAAGCTCCTTCTCCAATTCAACTTTTGAACCTTCTTCATAAGCTACAGTATTGGACTACATTGACACAGAAGATTTAGGCTAATAAAGAAGCAAAAATCAAATTGTATAATATTTTTCTACCATCCATAGCCTACCTCAAATTCCTTGGGAACAACCCCTCTCACAACGACATCATGGGTAGGCAATGGGTACTGAGGCAACTTCTGCATTAATAGAAGAGTAAGTACTGCTAATGAGAGAGAAAGACGCCTTGAAACCTGAATAAATAAATAAGAAAAAGAAAAACTGAGTATCACCTCTTTAGGAACAGCACCCCACATAAAGACACGCATTCTAAACTGTGGGAGACCATAAGCACCAGCAGCCATCATTCCAAGTCGTGCTTGATAGTTCATAGCAAGAAGCCGAGCAAAAGCATACCTCCCAAGATACCCTTTGGAAAACTTAATCAAATCAACAACATTTTCCATCAACACAAATCTAGGCTTTAGAAAAGCCACAATATCCATGAAGACGGCAAGCTGCTTATTTTTTTCATCTTGTAATGGTTGGTCTGTATTCCGAAATCGGTTAAACCCACTTATTCCTTGGCAAGGAGGGCCCCCACATATAACATCGACATTTCCCTGCAAGACATCAAGAAACCAACAAATTAGATAACATAATCTGCAGTAGTCCAGTATACTTCACATCTCTTTGGAAGATGTTTGAACTTACAGGCAAAGGCAAAATCTTTCTTTTGTAACCTTTAGTGACGAATTCCTTCACCTTCTCTTGACAATCACTAAGAAACACGTATAGAAGGTCAGTGATTGTTTCAAGGAAACAAATAACATCAAGAAATCACTAAGCAAACCAGACTTAATGCCTACCTTAAACCGTCTATAGGCTCCCATGTATCATCATCTGGTCCATAACCTTTCCAGCGAATCTAAATTGCATTTTAGAGACATTACTACAAGCCAAAGCTAATTGAAAATGTTTAAAAAGGCAAGATAGAGATATAAAGGTACACTGATAATCCAACAAGTATACCTTACAGTAAAGACCAACAGCACCACTCTCTTTTGGATCCCCATAGCACATAGCCAATACCTCTTTGACATCAAAAACTTCAGAACTATTACCATCACTATCATCAACATCGTCATCTTCATCATCTCCACCAACTTCATCTACTTGCTCATTTGACGAGCTAACATACGGATGTGGTAGAACATTGCTTTCTACTAATGCATAGGAGACACAAAGCCTCTCCCACTCCTTAATCAAAAGCAAAAAGTTCTCGGCAGATTCATTTCGTACCTTAATCAAAAAGAAATTATCAAGAAGAAAAATGTATCCTGAACAAGGTTATAAATATAGAAATAATGGATACAAAACCATATGGAGCAATATACACCTCAGTCTCCGGATGGTTCCATTTTAGACTTTCACATGCATACTTGTTTACATCAACTGCCCATTTCTGCATTGAGAAGTTATTTTAATGGTAAAGAACGACATAACAACTAGAAAGAAGTTCAAGAAAACTTATTGTCCTTACGGTAACAAGTTTAACACCAGTGCTATAAGCTCCCAGGCAAAGTCCAGTGGACATTGCCCCACAGCCTGAATACAGGTCCAGTAGCCTCATCTCCAAGTGGTTTGCTTCTTGGGAGACCTCTACACCACTAGCCACTGCTCCAGTAGCATCAGCTTCACTCGATATTGTAGAGCCAGAGTCACTTCCAGCTCCATTATTCTCTGGACAATATAAATATCATCCAAAACTTTACACTATAAAGTTTGTGAAAAAAGAAAGAGTAATTTGTTGCTGACAATATATAAAGGAAAAAAGTTACCAGGCGGCAAGCTGATAAACGTGCAGTGAGGCTCTAAGAACATCATGTCATAATAATAGTCACAATTTGATTTTGCAGCATCCTTGCATTCCAAATCCATCTGAAATAGCAGCCGGTCCTGTTAAAAAGGTTTACAGAAGCTCAAAGTTGAAAAGACGTTTCTTAGGTAAGTCAGCATACATTTGGCGGCAGCCGGGCGATCCTAAGTCTCTTAACCAGACAGTCCAAAGGATTGTCATTCTTGACTTCAGAAAAGAATACTCGCTTTTCGTCTATAAATTCATGACATTCTGTAATGATCTGACCACAGGAAGTGGCAGTATAATTCAGAAAATGGAAATTGAAAATACAGATATTTAAAGGAATGATTGTCAAGCCTTACAGTATCCTCGGCCCTGTAAAACCACTGAGCAGTGAAATACGGCATGCCATCAGTTCCCTCAAACATCTCCACTATTTTGCAGATGTAATTTCTTTTGCCTACTTCAGCCTTGTGACAGCATGTTAATTAGGCAAGAATTAAACAACTTTCTGAACCAGATTTGGATACATGTGATTCAAAATACCGGCAAAACCAAGACAATGAAATCCAGGCTAACAAAGTTGTCAAAGAAGGCAACTCTCAACAATATAAGATTTATTTTCTCTTTAAAATTTCCTCCTATTTTGGTATTAGCCTGTTATACTCCATAAATGGCACATTTCAAAAGATTATAACCAAAAAATGACACTCCAAGCTGTTTAAATCCTGAAAAGGTATTTTTGTCTCAATTTCGAAAGCAAAAGTACAGTGGAAAAAATCTCTAGAGTTGTTTCTCACGAATAGCTTTCTGATGGTTAAAATAATTTAAATTCACAGATAAAAACAAAAACCTCTAAAAGCAGCTTTCAGCAAAGGGAAAATTGAACCCAAAAAAAGAAAGAAAGAAAAAACTAGAATCAACTTATAAGAAAAAAATATCTAGGCCTTGATTATACAATCTTCAATGCAAAAACGCTAAGCCACAAGGATCACCTGCAATACATAACAAGATTAACAAGACACCCAAAAAAAGTTACGATATTTATGGGTAGGAAATTCACATTAAATTTTCTGGAAAGATAATGAACCCCGTAGAATTCAGACAGTTAAAAGAAATAGAAACGATGCCACATCCACAAAATCTCATAAGTTTTGGAACACTACATGGTCTATGATATCTGAGACCATTTAAAAAAGCTGGACATCTAAGTCCAAGTAAACAAACTTAAAACCCTCCTTTTACTTCTCCAAAATCATTACTCAGTCTTAACAATCATAAGTTAAAAAGATCACATAGCATTCGAGTTTCAAGATATGACAACAACTACATATTTATACTGAGAACAGATTATTTCCTTGTTACATAACAGCACTGGAAAAAGCAAATGCAGGAGCAAGAGATGAATCTTACATTAAGCTCATTGCACACCCATGACAGATGCTAAAAACCTTGACAGAAAACACGATATGTGCAGGTCACCTCTAGACTAGATAGGTTTTGATTTGGTATGACTAGACCTAGCCCACTCAAAATGTCATACTAGCAAAATCTTCCATTTACTAGAAAAAGGAAGCAAAGTTCCTGTACCTGTACATAAGCATCATCTTCCAAGTTAAAAATCTGCCCATCAACTTCTGCTTGAGTGAAGTGTCTTTTAGCATCGATAAATTCTTCAGAGTCATCCTCACTTTCCAAGTGAATAGAAAAAAAATGCAAGCAATTAAAGAACAACAATTTATATGCAAAGAGTTCTAATAAGTAGAACTAGAATGAGAAAATTAAATAATCAAGAACCATATACTCACCCTTTTGAGTCTTTTAAAACTGCATTTTGTTTCCTCTGTATAACCAAAACAATTAGCTCATTAACTCAGCCAAAAATTCAAATTAAATTTGTGCACATCAACATTCAGCATGATGATTATAGCTGATAACATGAACAAGTTTTGTTTGAATGACAAAAAACCAAACCATTTTTAGTTCATAATTGGGGTATCTCCTACACTTAGATCCAACCAAAAGTATTTCATACTAAGGCTCTTTTAAGAACAACAATTACCTTTATTTAACTATTAGTTCATAAAGATTCACTAAAAGAAAGGATACTAATTATCAGAAAGATAAAACAATGACAACATACAGCCTCCTATTTGCTAAAGGGAGCTAATGGAAAAATTGTTTGCGCAGAATCCACTTGAAAAGTATTTTTTGCTCGTCTAAAAGTTCCCATTGAGTTCGTGCAGGTTGTGGACAAAATTAATCTTAGCCAAGATGAGTAATCCCCCATTAAGTCTATAAAACCCATACTCGCAGAAGGATACACTAATTATCAAACTTCGAATAAACCAGATAAAGATTTTATAGTGACAAGTAACTAAAACCAAAGCATTATCCGAAAGCCAAAGTTTTCCACCCAAAACGAGATAGACTCAGAATGGAAAACATATAGATTCACCGAAAGATAAAAGAACGAGTTTAAAGCAAAAGAACGAGTTTAAAGCGTAAGACCAATGGACAAACTTGGCATGATCCAAAAGACAAAACTTTTGACACTAGCAAACAACTGAAGGAAATACAATCCCAATGTCCATAGAACGGTCGTATGTTAACCTCAACAGTGAGATTCTAAGAATAAAACAGAGACTTGCGAAGAAGCCCAAGGAACTGCTAACATTAGTTTTCAGGGCGTCCATGTTGAAAGACACTTGAGCTTATTCAGGATAATCTGGCCAGCTATCAATACCCTTTTAATACTCCAAACTAGCTCCCATATCTGACATACTACAACGACAATATTTCCAGCATCTTTTTCCTCAATTTATCTGCTATAATCTCGGTTACATGTGCTTGCGCTCCTACTGATTTGTATCATATTAAAAAGACCAAAAAGTTGACATCGTCTCAAATGTTTCTTTGGAAAAAACAAAAGTCCTTGTTCTTTATTACTTACAAAAACAGCCAAAAACCAGCTTTGTATCAGGAAAGACATGAAACTTTATTCACATTCAACGTACTTGCAAATATAATCACAATAAAGAATGTCCAGAACCCTTTAAAAAAAAGCCCTAATTTTTTCAGAATACGCAAAAAATGGAGAATAAAATCTTACTCTCAGAAAAAAAAACGAAAAGTGAAGAATCGTAAAAGATACCCTTTTCAGATTAAGTTCATCTACTCTTCACAGGTAAACACATGTACAAATCCATAGCTGTCGATTATATACAATAAACCAAAACATTTCCGACCTTTTGCTTGACTGCATATCGATGAGGCCACCGACAACGAGCCTCCTTGTCAGCAACAGGCTCACCAAGAAACCGAAAATCACCTTCCTCCTCATTTTCCGCAAGAACGCGCCTTTTTGTCTTCCTCTCAGCCGGCGACATAGGCGAGCTCTCTCCTCGACCTCACCTCCATCCTCCCGTTCATTGTCATCCGACACAACCACCACGTCCGGCTCCTCCATGAAATCACTATCCACATTTGCCGGAACCGACTCAACTTTCATCCTTTGTCGCTTCGACTTCTTCTCTACCGAAGAAGAAGAAGAAGCCCTAGATTTCTCCCTCGAAGCTGCCGGCGTCGATGAACCCTTCCTCTTCCCCATTTCGGAGGTGAAAGAATTAGTTCAAGAACGATGGAAGAGATTTGTGGAAAATGGGGAAAGAGTAGAAAGGGTTTTTTGAGGGGGTAAGGAAGAAGGTGAAGGAAATGGGGTATTGTTTTTGAAAAGGAGGGCTTCTTCTTCCCTGTCTTTTGCTGCGAGTTTTTTAATGTGAATTTGAAAATATTTCTAGGCGGGAAGGCGGAATTTCGGGGAGTGAATGAAGTGGATTTGAACGAGGGAAGTGAAGTCCGAGGAAAGTGAACGTTGAGGGGTTGGATAATCATTGGCGTTTGAATATGGGTATGGGTATTGGGTAATAACTAGGGATGGCAACTGGGCGGGTTGGGGCGGGGACCCCTCCCCCGTCCCCGCGTCCCGTTGCCTATTAGTTCCCCCCGTCCCCCGCTCCGTTCCCCGCCTCCGCTCCCCCCGCCCCGCCCCGCCCCAGCCCCGTCTTGCCCCGGAGCACTCGCGGGATTAATAAAATTTTATTATAATTAAATTTTAATAAATAATCAAGTACTAAAATATCAACACATCACCAAATTATTATTCATTGTAATTTTACAATTGAAACTCATAAAAACAATCAAACAGAAGTTATTTGAATACAATCCAATATGATGAAATAAATATAACTAAAATAGTCAAATTTTCACTTTTAGTACAAATGCAATCACTAATTCATCATTGTTTTGTGCTTTTTTTTTAGAAAAAGTGTTATTCTATTAAGTGTAATTAGAAATTTAGTATAAATGTATTAGTAAATTTAGTATAACTAATTAATAAATTATATTAGTAGACATGTATAATTATTCATATAATTGATAATATCAATTATATTACATAAACTAATATACATTATATAATACATCTAATTAATAATATCATTATCATAAGTTTATAACTAATTAACTTACATATAATATATAGTCATTTATATATATATATATATATATATATATTTTTTTTTTTTTGCGGGTGGCGGGGCGGGGATGGGGCGGGGGAGTATACCCCGCCCCCGCCCCGTGAGCCCCCGCGGGGCGGGCACCCGCGGGCACCCATCCCTATTACCATCCCTAGTAATAACGAGACTCACGGGTTGCTACCCGATACTGAATAGAACGTGAATATTACAAGGTCTAGTCTAGATTATTTTTTATAATTTTTATTTAAAAAAATTATATATTGTATCAATTTGATTTGATATGGGTGAAGTAAAAATTAATTAAAATATATATATATGAAAAATATAAAAGTTTTTCTTTAGAAAATTACGAGTCTGTTTGGCAAATAAGTTTTCTGCCAAATTTGTCTTTTACAAATTTTTTAAAACTTTAAATATTACTAACCTCAAAAAACTTTTCAATGTTTTTAAACTATACACTTCAAAATATTCAAAAAATTACATTTCAAAAATTTTTTCTATAACTTCTAATGAAGTTACAGTCAAATTTTAGATAAATATCAAAAAAAATCATTTGACAAACGAGGCCTACGGGCGTGTTTGGCCTCGTTTGGCAAACAAGATTTTGGTCAATTTTGATTTCTACAAATTTTTTAAAAGGTTTAACTACAATAACCTCAAAAAACTTCTTAAATTTTTTAAACTATACACTTCAACATATCTAAAATTTTATACACTTTAAAAATTTTTCCTACAATACTACATTAAAATTTTAAACAAACGCTAAAAAAACTCATTTGTAAAATGAGGCCTTCAATTTAAACAAGAACTGAATTCTTTTGAGATTTGGTTATAGACGATAGAGTTGAATTAATTTGAGATTACATTAAAAGAGGATGTTTATTTGAGATTGAGAATATCACTAGCAAAATTTTGTATTCATTATGTACTTGAAAAGAATAAAAGTGGTGATTCAAATACATCAATTAATTATCTGCAAAGTGTTTAATGACAATATTTTGGAAATGTGAGGTGTGACTGAAGGTATAATAGTAGTAACCATTTTCATTTATTGGGAGCTTTTTAGAAAAAAATTTCATAAATCACGAATGACAACAAAAATTTTAGATTTTACAATTATACTTACCTAAATTGCACTCTATTTCTGAATAACATCCCAAGCCAGTCATTCTTTTTTAGTGTGAATATATCATCAAATGAGTAATTTAACGTTGTGGCTCCGTGCATATTCGATCGTTGAAAAAGTTGCAGTAATTAATATGTTAAAATTTTGATAAAAATCTGTCATGGTACATATCTCTTTTCATACTTCTAATTAGACGCATAAAAATAGTAAATGGCCGCAAAAAATTGGAAACAATTGACAAATTAATCAACATTGAAGCTCATGCAAAAAATTGAGTATTATTTGTAGAATTATTTGTCAATTGTTTAATGGATTCAAACAAACCCAGTGTTTGAGCTAGAAATGGCAATAGGATTATGCCATGAAGTTATAGGAACTTGATTGATACTTAGGTGCGTTTAATAAAATTAAAGTTTGAAATATGAAATTTGAATCCATTAAGTTATTGAATTGTTAAACATTAAATCTAATACATTTGAGTGCATATCAGATTCAGTGATAAATGAATAGTTTATCATTTAATTTTGGAACAAATTTTGCATAAAAAATTTAGTGCCACTTATTAAATTTAGATGCTCAATATTTGCTTATCAAACGATCTGAAAATATTAAAATTTAAATCCATTAAAATTAAGGATTAAGTTGAGTTATCAAACAAAGTCTTAATTGTTTTGTATGCAATGCACCAGTTGGCACGCAGTTTTGCTTCTTCATCTGCCTAAAAGATAGCTATAACAATGGGTTTGTTTGGATATCACATTATATTTACAAAAAATTATATGTTTGCATTATAAACATATTTTCCAATCAAAATTTATATCTTTTCAATAATCTTTTGTTCTCGCATATATCACAATGTAAAAAATGCTATTGAAACTGTATAATGCTAGCAAGCGATTAATTTTACTGACAAGCCTTAGACTCAAGTCACTGAACAAAATATATGGATTAAAATTAGTCGCATATGCAAGGCAAATTAAACCTAAAGTACACTAAAGGCTCAACAAATTTAAGAAGTCCAGAAAGACGGTTTAAATGTTCCATTGCATTATGCATGCTTAGTCAAGAACTTTCCTAATCGATTAATTACTGAAGATTCAATATATAATTGGTTTCTTGAATAGCTTCTTGGCCTTGTTTTATGAGGATTTGTTGGTCTAAAGCTCGTTTCGAGATAACAGCTTCTTGGAATTTTAAGCACACACTTATATTTCTTACTTTTAGATTCAAATAGGATTAATTTTTTTTACACTAACAGTGTATATACACTATCAGCGTTAGATGAATGACAACTATACAAAATTCAAATTTAAAATTTAATTTTTGCATACATATCATGAATCAAATGGTGATAATGTAAACACTTTCAGTGTATATAAGATTTACTTTTGCAAATATTACAATTGCCTTGCCTCCACCAATTCAGCTTATACTTCTATTTTCCACACCTTGAGTGGATTGACAACCCACATTTTCTTTGATTTGGAGTAACATGTGCTCCCATTTGCCAAATAGGCATGACCACGGTTCTAAAATCAATACTTTCGATTTAAAAATTGAAGATTTTGATTTTGTTAAAAGGAAAACCTAAACCGATCCTTATAAGGATGCTTATGGTTACGGTTCTTGAACCTTCGGCACTAGTCATGGTTTTGATTTTTTCCGATTACGGTTCCAATTTTTTTAGTTATGTTTAAAGACTTATTATCGTAAAATTGGTTATAGGAAAAAATGACAATGAATGTAAAAAAAAAAAAAAAAAAGAAAGAAAGAAATTTATTATGCTATCATGTGTAAGGAAAAAGAAAAATGATGCAATTTTTATGAAAAATATCTCATTGTTAATTAAATTATATTCATCTTGGATTTAGATTAGTCATGGAGTATAGACTTACTAATGGAATGGGACAAATAGTTGTTGGATCATAATTGGAGTTACGAGTATTAAATGGTGAGTATTGACGTTGAACTCTAAACTAGTTAAATACGTTTAGGTAGCAAATATTTTTTCAAATGGTTTGAGCGGTTAGTAAACCGTTGATTTTGATTCTGGTTCAAAATTTTAGTGAATTTGAACCTAAATTTTAGTCACGGTTATGGTTTCAATTTTGGTTTCCAAAATTCAATTCTAGTTGCTTGCAATTCAATAAATTGTCAATCTGATTTCGGTTGTGTTCCAGTTCAAATTTGAATCATGGCTACCCTTATTTGTCAATTAGATGATCATGATGCCGAGCACATTGTGATACCATATCTTGTAGTCCAAAGAACTTAGGCTCTATTTGGATTCTCCACTTTTTGAAAAACCAATTTTTTCACATACAATGTTACAGCAACACATATAAAAATAATTCTAAAAATACCATATCCATACAATATATCAAAAATAATTTCAAATATATCAAAAATTAAAAAATAAAATCTATATTATCTTCTTCTTTAATCTATCACCCCCACCCACCATCTTACTCCTCCCTCTCTTTTCTCCTCTTTCCTCTCCCTCTTTTTCCTCCTCATTCCTCTCCTTCCCTCTGCCTCCTCCTCTCCTTTTCCCTTCCACACGATACCCCATCTCCTCCCCTCTAGCCTCAACCAGAAGGCCTCAATCGAAGGCCAGGATCCGGTCTCAATGAGGTTAAATTGGAAAGAGCAAGGAAGGGGAGGCCCGGGTTCTAGCGAGAAAATGAAGGAAAGGAAAGGGTGGGAGGGGAGAGAGGGAGGAGGAAGAGGTACGGGAATAAGAGAGGAGGAGGGAGAGAGGGGATGATAGCGGTGGTGGATATTGATTGTGGGTGGAGTGTTAATTTTTAAAAATTATTCTAAAAATTTTTAAATCTTAAAAATACCCTAAAATATATCTCAAAAATATCTCAAAAAACATCATTAAAAATATTTACAGTAAAAGTTTTTCATATATATTACTACAATAAAATATTTCAAAAACATCCCCAACTCTTGCACACTCATTCAAATCAAAAACTTTAAAAAATAAATGTAAAACAAACCCTTTCTCTATTCTATTCCATCCCTTAGGGTTGTTTATTGTTTCTTTAC